TATATATATATATATATATATATATATATATATATATATATATATATATATATATATATATGCAAAAAAATCAAAATGTATTTTCTGTCATTCATAATAATTTAACAGAATTTGTTAACGGTGTTAGTTATAAGGACCATTATGTACCATCTGAGGAGAAAAAATTTCATATGGACCATTTTAAGGACCAACCGAAAAGCAGAAGGATCATTTGTGAAATTTTGTCTTGATTTTATTTTACAAGGAACCAAAAATACAAATTGGACCAAACGATAGGACCATTTCTGTAATTTACTCTATATATAATTTGGTTAAAGGAATGTAAAAAACGTTTTCTAATCAAAATAATGAGATTCTTAAGGCATTATTCGGGATGATAGGGGGTGTTGGTATCATGAAAAAGAAGAACGGTTTCTGCAAATATGATTTGGGAACATCATTTTGCCCCTAATCAGCCTACCTTGTGTGTGCTTTTCGGTGCCCCAAGAAACTTTTTTTAACATAATTTTTAATTAATAAATACAAGAATTCTACAAGTAAATAAATATTTGTGCATTTTACTTATCGAGAATTCAAATTAATTCAAACATAAGTTGGAGTTTGAAAGTAATTTAACAAATGTCTATCATGATTCTCTTAAAACCTTATAATATTAGTATCTTTTAACTTGTGCTAGCAATACTATGAAAAATAATCATAGTTTTATAATCATTTACATATCATGAATACATATCCTATAAAACGTTTACATATCATGAATACATATCCTATAAAAAGTTATTTTATATGATGCCTTTTTATACAATTATACACCATTAAACACGATTCAAACGAAACTTGTGTTTTTCAAATTAAACGAGTCTTATTAATGCTTTAATCTCTTTTTCTTTTCTTTTCTTGCTCGTGCTAGAAGAGTAATGATCATGTGACCTATTAGTATTTTAATAGACTTTATTTAACATTTAAAGCTATGGTAACAATCGACCAATAAAAAAAACAGTTTTCTTCAAATAAGAAAAGAGAGTGAAAACAAAGAAAAGAATTTTGTGCAACAATTTTAAACATAAAAGATTAAAATTTGAAGAAGACTTGACACGTGTCATAAGGATAACACTAGTCAAAGGGTAAAAAACTAAAAATCGAAACAAGAACACAATATGAACACGATGTGAAGGGATGTGGATTTGAATCCTCCTTCGTCTTTGGTCACCTACATACAACGGCTCCACACTGTTTGAGTCGACTTCTAAAATATAGATTTTTTTTTTCTAATGTCATTTTCTTCATTTCAAGACTCAATTATCGTCATCATCTTCTCCTTGTTCTTCCTTAAATTCTGCCAGACTTTTCAAACAGCCACAGTTGCAACTCTTTGAGGTCCCATCTTATCTTCTTCCCTAATTCAATTTCATCTCGAAAAACCCATAAATCCCCATCTGGGTTTTCTCTTTTTCTTGAGAAAAAACCCAAAGAAAGTCTTAGATTTCCACGATTTTAGCTAAATCTCCTGTCACGTTTCGTTGTAAATCAGAAACCCACCGGAAAAATTTTGAGCTTTACTGATAATACACAAATCTCGATCTAAGATGAGCAGTTACCATGATTCGAATGTGGTAGAGCTCGCCGGAAAAATCTTGATAGTGTCAATCGTAGTCTTGTCTGTGGTTTTGATCTTCGTTTTCTTTATTCACCTCTACACCAAGTGGTTCTGGCACCTTCGTGAGGAAAACCAGAACGGCTCCAACACCCTCCGTCGCCGTCGTCGGGGAGATTTTACAGCGGGTCACCAGGAACAGCAGTCTGGTGTCACCGTTCTCCGGCGTGGGCTGAACCCCTCATTCTTGAAAACGATACCGGTTATTCCGTTCGACCCGAAAGACTTCAAAGATGGATTAGAATGCGCTGTTTGTTTATCAGAGCTCGATGAAGGAGAAAAAACTCGAATTCTACCAAAATGTTGCCATGGATTTCATGTTGAATGCATTGATATGTGGTTTCATTCACATTCGACTTGTCCGATTTGCAGAAACCCTGTTTCCGATCAGATTGAAATTTCAGTCGAGCATTTGCTTGAAATTCGTCAAACACAAGAAGAATCAACAGAAAATGGGGATTCACAAACTTTCCCAACAAATATCTTGTTTTGGGGAGATGAAACTGAAGTTAGCACGTTGACTTCTCAATTTGAAGAAGCCAACAATCATCATCAAACACCTATTTCTACTTCCGAACCATCTTCTTCTTCACCATCAAACGCCATTAACAACCAATTAAGACCAGTTTTAGTGATCGACATACCACAACAGATTGACGATGATGAAGATCAAAAATCACCAGTTTCATATCGAATGAGATCATTAAAGAGAATTTTGAGCGGCAGTAGAAGGTTTATTAACCCCTTTGGTCCCGCTACTACTAATGTCGGACAAAGAACCAGAAGCGATCTATGATCAAAATTTCTGTTTTTTTTTTTTTTTTTTTTTTTGAATATTTTTGCCCAATTAGCTGGTGAAGAGGATGCTGACTCGGTTAACCTCTCCTGCTATGTTTTCTTCTTCTTCTTCTTAAACAAGTCTGTATATGAACACATTGATTAAAGATGTTCTCTTGAGGTATTGAATATATTTTAGCTTAGAAATCATAGTTGTATTCTTGAATCTTAATCGAAAATTACCCTCTTTTAGCTATAAGAATGATTAAATTTGAATTGCTTGCAAGCAACGGTTACATTGTTACGTGTGGAATCTATGTAGTTGACTCACTATAATCTCCAAAAACTAACCTTTCACTATCTCAACTACATCAAAAATAAAGATATAAAAAATTACAAATTTCATCGAATCTGACTTTGATATAATTTCACTATGTCACCAAATATACAGGACCATAATTTGAAAGATTCTCAGGACTTTTATTAAGCTTCCCTAGTGATGTATATGGCATCTGAAACTCTTCCATTTTCGTTGTTTGATGAAATAGACCCGATAAAGGTCCTGAACTTTGTCGTTTAAGTCGTTGAGTTTTGCAGCCTTTGACCCCATTTATTGGGCCTGAAACATACCCTTGTCTTCTTGTGGGTTTTCTGTATTCGGTTTTTATCGTTAGTTGTTGTTGTTCCTCTTTCTTGTTGGCTTTCATCCATGACAAAATAGAAGCTTTCCATGATCTTTTAGCCTTTGTTTTTTCCTTTGAATCCTTTCGAGCTTCTTCTTCTTCTTGTGATGCATGTGTTTTTGCTTCCTCCAAGAACTGATCAAAACAAACACCACATTTTAAAGCTTTACATCTTGTGAATATTGATATTAAAAGATACCATATTGCATATCATGTGAATACCTGTGCAAAATCCAACTCTGGGTCAAACTCGTTCATTATTAACCTGAAAGATAAGATAATGAAGAACAGTTGGACCACTGATTCTAGAAAATGATCTTGACAACTCAACGAATGTTTAATGGGCAATTGGGTATAGATAAGAAGTGAGAAGTGACCCTCTGTCTACGGAATTTAATGACATTTAATCAATGAGCTAGACGAAATAGCTTCCCTAGTACAGGAGTTCATGATAACAAATGACTAATTAATGAACAAAAAAAGGTTGTTGCTTGTTAGTTGTTATGTATATAATGTATACCTTTTCTTGGATACCACCAGTACTATGGAGGAATGGGAAGAAGAAGACGAAAGAGAACTGCGAAAGAGAACTGTATGTGGATTAAGTCGATTGCGTAAATTAGTATGTAAAGCTAAATGAGGAAGAAGGTTATAGACTTATAGTGGCATACATTATACATAGCTTATTATGCGCCGTAGGTTCCGGTAAACAGGGTCTTTTTTCTTACCTTTTTTAGGGGGAAATGGCCCACACTTTCAACTTACATTCCAAATTATATAATTATTTGCTACTTTTATTAAAAAATGAATAAAATAAAAGCTATGATTGAAATTTTCTTTTTCATGAAACGATTTCAAATTTGTTAAATTTCCAAATCAACCTACGTGACTAGCATTAGAAGAAACAAAATGACGTTCAATCTAACTTGTGAAAAAAGGAATTTCCAGAAAAAATAAAATAGAGAAATTAAATATCCTCCTACATTTTATTCCTATTTATCTTCCTACCATATCAAATCTTGACATTTGTCATATTTAATGACACATTTAATGAAATAAATAATATTTTAGTCCACTTCTCACCATTTATTGTGGGTAGTAGGATAGTAGGACTAAAATGTAGGAGGATACTTCATTTCTCAATAAGAGACATGATACTTGCCTTGTACTTATTGCTACAAAAATATGTGTTTTGCAGAAAATGTACAATGTTGTCGTTTTTAGTACGCTTAGCTACCGAGTGAACTTGTGTAGAGGGGTAAAGAATGACATTTTATTCATGAAAAAATATTAACAATGATGATAGTGAGCAAGATGGGACCCTTCATATAATGCTAATTGACTAATGAGGATATTGATGATGAATAAAGAGAGGTTTTTCTCAAAACTATGAACTTTAAGTAAGTTACAAGGTTCCATAAACAAAAATGAAAATGATCCTTTTTGAACATGTTATATGAAGACAAAATGTTGGTTACTTCATTAGGTAACATAAAAGGTTAGAGGTGGGAGAATGGTAGTGGAAGAAGTTGTTGATTTTCAAGTCAATGTTGGTGTTATTATTATGTTGTCTTATGTTGTTTGCTTTTGACATCATCTTCTTGTTGAAGTATTTGGTATTTGATGAAACTCTAGAATACAATTGTTGGTGTTCAAGTAAAGACGTTGAAGAAGCTATTCAGGAAGAAACTCAAGATGTTCAAGTAAGTTAATATGTTTGCTTACGTTCATATTGTTTCATGAAATGAAATGTTGATGTGTATGCACTTTTTCTTTTTTTCTACAATTTGTATCAAACTCAATAAAGAAAAATCTATTAAGACATTAATTATCTAGTCGTTTTAAGCACTATGTTAAAATTCCAAACACTGCACGAAATATGCATATACATATACACAACCAAAATCCCCCAAAAAAAAAAAAGGATTAAACATATCCAATTCTTCCAACATTATGCAACCGGATTCAACTATTATAATACTAAAATCGGTAGCATTTTTAACTCCATTAAAAACACAAACCCACTTAAGTTTGTAACATCACCAGGACTAGACATCCTGAAGAAACTACTAAATTCTTTTTTTTTTTTTTTTTTTTTTGTAAAAAAAAAAAACATCAAAGTTGAAGCAGAGGCAAAGCCATTACAAGACCAACAAATGAAACTAGCAACAGCAGCATCCAAGTCGGGAATGACTGTTTCCGGGCTTGTTTCACTTCCTCCTCCTTTGCCAATTCCATTCTCTTCACCTCCTTTTTCTCCACCAATGGTTGTAAATTCTCCTCCTTCCTTGCAACCACAGGTGATCCCTCCACCTCTTCCACAACAGCTTGTTCTGATACCCACTGTTCTTCATATTTCTCCACATATTCAGGAAACAGTTTCCTAAACGTTGGGCTGTCAACAAATATATAAATAAAATGTCAAGATTGATAAATATTGTTACAGTTGATGAGTATTGTGAAATTTGTGTTTTGGAATGTAGGGGTAGTATGGTCATTTATTGAAAAGGAAAGGAAACTGACTTTTTGCAATTGAAGGCCATAGATGCTTTTGCAAGACGTTGCTTCTCTGCAACAGTTGTATTCACACTACCAGTGGTAGGACTGCTGTCCATCTGCATAAATTAATGAAAATTAATTGGCAAATGTAAAAACAAATAAAATAAATAATGGGAAAAGAAAAATGAAATTGAAAATGTACACTAAACTCACCATGAAGGACAGGAGTCCTGTCAGGATACTGAATGAGAAATGAACAAAGAAAATGTCATAAAGATGACGATAATAATAATATTTATAGAAAAAAAAAAGCATTAGATTTTGATTATAAAAAAAAAATGATTTATTTAGTTAAAGTATAATGCTACCTTGAAACTGACCACATAGGGTTCCAACTTTCTGGATGGACTGGAAATGAATAAAAAGAATATTAGTTAGTGTAATTATTTATTTATTTTTTTTAAGTTAAATTTTAAGGACTTACAATCACTCATTGATAGGCAGATTTTCTTTTGTGTCATGAATCGACCATTGGGAGTGGTCATGCTACAAGAATGTAAATAAAAATATGAAGTTAATATTAATCAGAAGACATTCCAAGATTAATAATGGAAGTCTGAGGTCATGTTTTGTAAATACCTGATTCCTGGAGGTTTAAATGGGTAATCTGAAGGGAACTTGATTTTTCCATAGTAATATCCACCTGCAAAAGGGGTTCCCTGGCTTCCCTCCAATACATAATCTGAAATAGAAATAAAATAATTTGTATCACACAATTGTTATATATAATGTGCTGAAAAAAATAGATGATGATTATGATGATGATGATGATGATGATGATGATGATGATGAAACTTACGCCACTCAAGAATATCATTTGGGGAAGGGCGAGCAACAATATGTGAAACGGGTTCCTGTAATTGAATAGAGAAAGAAGATGAACATGTTTTAAAAACACAACTTAAGATTTTATAAATATAATGGATACAAAATACAAAATGGAAGAAAAAAAGGTATACTTTACAAAGTGCTCTATACTCCTTCTGAAGACGCTTTACACATGCTCTTTCAGCCATCTCAAGGATTTAAAATGATGGATAAAAAGAAGTGGTGGATTGTTCTTTACTTTGGGATTCACCTCAAGAAAATATTATTTCCTGTAAGCATTATAGATATTATTAAACAATTCCAATGTGAAAACATACCTAAGAAAGGATATTGATAAAGAAGCAACTCAGTATTACTTTAAAGAAACTACAAATCGGTCAAAACAAAATAAAGAAAAAAATTATGTGATGTTATGGGCCTTCAGCTTTCCAGAACATTTAGAGGCGTTTTAATGAGGTCTCCAAGTAGTATAAACAGTTCTACCATATGTCATCTGATGATTCATTGATTCTGGTCACACTTTAACTTCATCAATTCCAAATAACTATTTTAGCAGTGATCTTATCCTAGTAATTGAAGAATTCACAAAATAACACGGGGATAACAAGGATGTGGTAGCCATGGTCAAAAATGGTTATGGTTTTGAACTAAAAATGTCACTTTGTTAAATTACGTTTCATCTCTGACACACTGATATCATTTCCCCTAAGACTACAAGGGTCGAAAGGGCTGGTTGTTACACCCTTAATTGCATGAGTAATTTTCTAACATTGAAAGACAATTTACGCGATGACGAAAAGGGGGTTTTCCCAATTAACCAGCACACAAACCCTAAAGAAACATATCAATTAATTTCATCACTCCTTAACCCTAGCTAAACCCGTGCATGATGGTGTTTCAAAATTTCTCCATGGTTTTACCTAAATAATTAGGATCGAAAGCGAAACACCTAATAGCAAGTCAAGAAGGTTGGAATTTACAGAAATTAAATTAGGAAATCATAAAGTGCGATTAAGACCGAAGCGATCACCAGAAAACGACGATGATCAAAACCCCGAAGCCGAAAATGGAGACATAGATCGAAAAACAGATAATAGATGGAACATGAGAGCAAGATCTACTGTAACTTGAAAACAAGTAAAAGAAGGGATGGATTGAACTTACCTGACATGAATTAATGTAAAATCTACCCAATATTATGAAATTCCCCGAACCTCAATTTGATATACGGTAGGAAACTCCAAGTCGGGCACTCCTATGGGTCTTGATTTCCGAAATTCCGAAAAGGAGAAACGCCTTTCTTTGGTTGTGGTGGGGGTTATACACTTGTGACAACAAGAATGTGACCTTCCAGGCATGGGATATTATGTAGCAAAAGACGATATTGCCCCTTAAGAAATTTGACTATTTGTTTGCTTTGTTGAGAAAACAATACAACGAATTTATATCTAAACTAAGTAACCAACTGATTTTGTTAAGTTCATCTTCTGTTTCTTTTGTTGTCGACATATAAGTAAGAGAAATAGATAAAAATAACCAATTTTTTTAAAAAATAACCAAAAATCAAGAAATTACCAATTTAAATCTGACCAACGAAATCGCAGATGGGCTCTTACCTTACACGGAGATGTTGGTTGTAGACATAAATACTATATTATTGAGTCATCTTTTTCCAAAGGGTTATCTATAATAAAGTCTCAATATTTTTGGAAAATTTTTAAAAAAATCCTAAATTTTTTTTTGAATAAAAAAGCCCAATAAATCAGATAAACTTAACATTTTAATCTCTTTCATCCGGTAACCCTCGTTTTACCGGTTACAAATGTCTATGTGGCATCTTAATGGTAACTGTGTTGTGTACGTTGACTTCATTAGCTTAGGGTTATAAAATAAACCCCTTTCTTCTCGTCTTGTTCCCGACAATCCTTCGATTCATCCAAAGCCTTGTTTAATCCAAAGATTTTGTAGATGGATGAAGTATTTGAGTCGGACACCATCGACGTTCGACTTCATGATTTTTTTTCAGAAGAAAGCCAGTTTCAAGATGCACAGATGAGTTTCTTAATGTTCTGTGTGAAGAAAGTGATGATGAAGCACTGGGAGGTGAAGGAGGGCATTCTTAAGTGGAGTCCTACGGTGTTGGTGAAGTAGATGATGAGAAAAACACTGAAGAATCTAGTGAGGAAGATAGTGATGAAGATGTATTTGAATATGTCATCCATGATCTGAAGGTCAAATGGAATGTTATGAAACCAGTTCTTGGAGAAAAGTAGGAATCTAGACATCAACTGAAATTATGTTTAACAAATTATTCCATCCATAAGGGTTATAAAATTCATTTCAAGAAGTGTGATAGTGTTAGACTAGTGGTTGCATGTGCAAGTGATACAGAAAAATGCCCTTTTATGGTTCGTGCTTCATGGATGAGTACTGAAAAATCATTTCAGATGAAAAAGATGAATGATATGCATACATGTGCTAGGAGTTTTAGTAGTTCATCACTTATGAATCCAACTTGGTTAGCAAAGCAATTTGTAAAAAAAAAAGTAGTAAGGAAACCAAAGTTAAAATGCAAGGAAATGCAGGCAATAATTCAAAGTAAATTTCATTGCAAGGTCTCATGGTCAAAGTGTTATAGATCAAGGTGTGGGGCATTGTCCTTAATTGATGGAAAATTGAGTAACCATTCTGCAAGAGTGTTGGACTATGGACATGAATTGATGAGGTCCAATCCATGTAGCACAGTTAGGATTTCTGTTAACCTTAACCCTGATCAGACAACAACTTTTCATATAATATATGTGTGTTTTAAAACAATCAAAGAGGGGGAAAAGAGGATGTCGTAAGGTTATAGGGTTGGATGGTTGTTTTTTAAAGGGACAATGCAAGGGTGAGCTACTAACTACAATAGGTAGAGATGAAAATAATCAAATTTACCTTATTGCATGGGTGGTTGTTGAGGTTGAGAACAAGGTTAATTGAAAATGGTTCTTGGAACTAGTTAGTGAAGATCTTTTATTGGATGTTGGCAAGGGATTATGTGTCATTAGTGATCAACACAGGGTAATGACATATTCTTTTATTTACATATCATTTATTACACTTGCTAATAACATTTACTAATATAGTTGTTCATGTACTAGGGTCTTCTTGAAGCAACAAAGCAAATTCTACCCCATGTAGAGCATAAACAATGTGTTAGGCATATTTATGCCAATTTTAGGATAGTATATAGTGGGATAGAATTCAGAAACATGTTTTGGGCAGCTTCAAAATCCACAACAAAAGGGATTTCAAGATAAACATGGATATGATCAAGACTTTAAGTGAAGGTGCTTATGATCATCTTATGGATAGAGACCCTAAATCATGGTGCATGTCATATTTTGGTGGTGGTTTGGCATGTGAGGCTGTAGAGAATGGGATGGCAGAGTGCTTTAATGCAATCATTGTAGATGCTAGAAAGAAGCCTCTCATGGATATGCTTGAAGAAATAAGACTCTATATGATGGAAAGGTTCTACAACTTAAAAGAGGAAGTACAGAAATAGGATAGTGATGTGTGTGAAGCAACACTTTTGAAGATGGAGGAATTTGCTGAGGATATTAGGTATAAATTGTATTTGATATATAAATGTAGGTTTTTAATTGACTATTTATACTAACCTAAGTGTTTCTATTTGCAGGACTTGGTATGTAGTGCCAAGTGGTGTCAATTCATATGAAATTTGGAATGGATTTTAGAGTTATGGAGTTGACTTGGTAGGCCATTACTGTAGCTGCAGACTGTAGAAGATATCAGGGATACCTTGTGTGCATGCACAAGTAACAATTTTATACACCAACCAAGATCCAAAGGAATTCATAAGCACTTGGTTCAGAAACAGTAACTACCTAGCTACATATTAGTCTAAAATACTTCCAGTTAATGGAAGTAACTTATGGAAAGTTATTAACTATACCAAGCCCCTTCCACCTACAACAAGAGGATGCCATGACGACCCAATGTCAACAGAAGGAGACATGTCTCTGCGCATGAGGACAAGTGTAACATCCCCAATTTCACGGCCAGAAAAGACCGATTTATTTATGTTTATTAAAAATCAGAGTACTCTTTTTACAGAATTATAATGCGGAATTTGTTTCCCAAAACATGATAATAATATTATCACAGCATTTCCGAAGAAATGTACTTTATTTATATTAAAAACCTTGCGATGTCATCGTCAATACAGTACATAAGCATAAACAAAAGATTACAGGCCTTACAATAATACATTAACCTATTGGCCTACATTCCATTATCTTCTCATTAGAATCATCATCTAAACACACATGTGCTTTCGTACCGCTACCTGTGATACAAGGAAGTTGAGTGGGTCAGACTTGAGAAAGTCTAGTGAGCACATAGGGTTTCAACCCACAATAATTAAATTCTTTAATTATATTTTTTTCATCAAATAATTCAACCCGATTACCTTTTCACGTTATCCTCACATTATGACCCTAAATACTAGTCTCAAGGGACCTACCCTAAGGATCATTGTAAGCATCGGGGTAGACAACACCGCTTAGGGGATTCCTTAGCAAATGCATGTCATTAAGGCACCCATAGGGGATGGAGTACATCTTTAGTGGGCACATAATTCAAAAAAACCTACAGGTTGCGAGCCTGCCAACGTTCCACTGGACTGTCTAGAATAGTATGTGGTTGTCATCTATATTCCGCTAGCCGACTAGATCATCTACAAAGTCAGGCCCTCTCATCTTATAATTATCTCATCTCATCTATTTCATCATTATCATCCCTTTTCTACCCAATAT